GTTCTCTTCACCTACACTCAACTGACTGCCCTGCCCATAGGGTCTCTTACTTTTCTACTATCCGTCATTCCTGACATTCATTCTGCCTGAATTGCCTCATCTACAGATCTTTATCTGTTGAAATCTTACCCATCTTTCAAGCTACATATTCTAGCTCCTACATGCAACCTTCTTGAATTGTCCTAGCCAGAAATTATTTTCCTCACTTCTGTGTTCCCTGGGTGCCCATAACGCTTAATTTATGTTCACATGGCACTTAACTACCTCTTTCTTTTTTCATCAACAAGAATATAAATTCCTTGAATATAGAAATACTTGTTATATGTATTTGTATTTCTTAACTTCTAATGCTGTACATTTTCTATACTAGATACTGTGTAAGTACTTACTGAATAAAAAATAGAGATCCCTGGTTTAAATTTCTGTACTATATTTAAAGCCTTGTCTACTTCTAGAAAAAGATCTGAGTGAGTACTTCACTACTTGAAACTCAACAAAATGAAAACATTAGATAACTGTCACATAGCTACACACAGACTCAAGAATATCTGTCAGCCGAAACTGGTTTGGCTCAGTGGATAGAGGGTCGGTCTGTGGACTGAAGGGTCCCAGGTTCGATTCCGGTCAGGGGCATGTACATTGGTTGTAGGCACATCCATAGGAGAGGGTATGCAGGAGGTGGCTGGTTGCTGTTTCTCTCTCATCGATGTTTCTAGCTCTCTATCCCTCTCCCTTCCTCTCTATAAGAAATCAATAAAAAATATTTTAAATAAATAAATAAAAATAAATAAATAAATAAAGAATATCTGTCAAACACAATAAAATTTAGATTCTACCCACCCTGGCCAGGTGACTCAGTTGGAGCATCATCTTGTACACCTAAAGGTCAAGGGGTTCGATCCTGGTCAGGGCACATACCTAGGTTTCCGGTTTGATCCCCAGTCGGGGTGCATATGGAAGGCAACCGGAAGGCAACTGATCGATATTTCTCAATGTTTCTTTCTCCCTCCCTCCCTCCTACTTTTTCACCTTCCCGTTTTTTTGTTTTTGTTTTTACAGAGAGGAAGGGAGAGAGATAGAGAGTTAGAAACATCGATGAGAGAGAAACATCCATCAGCTGCCTCCTGCACACCCCCCACTGGGGATGTGCCCGAAACCAAGGTATAATACATGCCTTTGACCGGAATCGAACCTGGGACCTTTCAGTCCGCAGGCTGATAGCTCCATCCACTGAGCCAAACCGGTTTCGGCTCACCCTCCCTTCTTACCTCCCTCCTTCTATCCCTCAACATATCTAGGATTTAAACAAAAATCACTGAGCTAAGGTTAGGAGGCTCTGGTATCTGGGAAGATATGGATGACTCAGCCATAATCTTTAGGCTGAAGTAGTGAGTCAGATCTTTAGTCACATGTCTAGAAAAGGTTATGAGTAAATTTAGAAAGCCTGCCAACTAATCCCCAGAAAAGAACCTGCCTATCAGAGTTACTGAGAAGTTTCATGGCTCTTTGCCAAATACTGCCAAGTCAACACCTGAGGCAAAAGCCCGTGACACAGAGTCACCACTGTGTAAGCTTGGGCACATTGCTTAACCCACTGACCAAGAGCCTGAATTTTCTCTGTAAAAATTAGAGTAAATACCACTACCCTACAGGTTTGCTAAAAGGATTAAGTTACATAAGGAATATAAAATGCTTTGTGTATGCCGTGATATGCCTGGCAAAGCAATAATCTTACCATATATCTCTGTGTTTTCTCATGGCCTCCTCTCCATTGAAGCATTAGGGTTAGCAGAATAATTTACCAAGATCTACATTGTGCTTAAAATTTAACCCCACCAAGGAGAGATGAGGACCAAAACCCCATTAATCGCCCTGGCCAGTGTTTCTCAGCAGTTAGAGTGCACTGAAGGGTCTTAAGTTCAATTCCTTGTTAAGGGCACGTACCTGGGTTGCAGGTTTAATTCCTGGCCCCAGTTGAGTAATATGGGGGAGGCAACCAGTCAATGTGCCTCTCTCACATCGATGTTTTTTTTCTCTCTGCCCCTTTCCCTTCCCTTCTCATTCCCACTCTAAAAATCAGTGGACTTCAGGTAAGGATTAATAAAACACACACACACACACACACACACACACACACACACACACACACAAACAGCATTAATCTTGGCTATCTTTGAGCAGCTGCTTAGATAACACAATCAGCATTAGCACAGCAAAGTCCTTCTTACCCAGTTGAGAGTTAAAACTAGATGCAAAAACTGTAGTTCTGGCGGTGGGGCCAGTTCTTGAGCTACATAGGAAGCTACCTTCCCCCACCTTAAGCACTGAGCAGAAAGGCAGTCATTACTATGGATTGGCAATGTGAAGAGGGCTTGTTTCATACAGTGGTATCTGTCCTCCCTCTCTACCATGAGCAAACGCACACACTTCCAATGAAATCCTTAATCTTGGAGTTTCTTTCTGGACAGAGGGAAGGGTATATTGACTTGAAATTGTTCCAGATGCCTCAGCCTTGCTAATGGAGGTGACTTATAACCACAGCATGATGATGAGGAACAATTGAAGAAGCAAATGGTAGAAAAGAACTTCACACTCACTGACCATTTTGTCAGGTGTTCATCTCAACGCCTTCCACAGATCCATTGACCAAGAGCCTCAGGAGAGCACCCAGCTTCCCATCAATCAACCCACTTTTTCCCTGTCACTCTGCAGACACTCTTGTGTCTTAGAGGGTGTTACACACAAACCAGATGAGAAAAGCAGTTGGGAGGCTCTGAAGACCTCATTCAGACTTGCTAAACACAAGGAAAATCCAGGCTATGGGAATTGTTATGGGAATCTGACCTCAAACATTCTAACCTCCTTTCAGAAATGGCTCCCACCTATATCCTCGATTCCAAAGTAGCCAGTTAATAGCCTCTAATTATAGCTGCTTAAGTTCCTGTTGGCTGTTTTTTACATCTTTTTTTTATATATATATATATTTTATTGGTTTTTCACAGAGAGGAAGAGAGAGGGATAGAGAGTCAGAAACATCGATCGGAGAGAAACATCGATCAGCTGCCTCTTGCACAGCCCCTAGTGGGGATGTGCCCACAACCAAGGTACATGCCCTTGACTGGAATCGAACCCAGGTCCTTTCAGTCCACAGGCCTACGCTCTAACCACTGAGCCAAACCGGTTTTGGCCTGTTGGCTGTTTTTTATCTGCTGACCATGTTTACCTCTTGCCTAGCTCCAGAGCAAGCTTTCACAGGCTTCTAAAACCCCTCCTCCCACCTTGCAAAAAGAAAGGAGACTTTCAGTGACAAACTAGTAGCCAATTACAAGCCTGCTCTGTCCCAGGCGCCTGTGTATCTGAGGCTCTCTATACTTCATTACTCTTTTGGGAAGAATTTTCCCCAAGGAGCAAGAACCACCTTAACTTCTGACTGAACTGAAGCAGAGGGAAAGTTGTAAAGTTCTAGAAAGTCCCTTAATACCTATCCAGTGAGTGTATCCTGATTTTGAGCCAAAAAAAAACTAATACTGTCTCTGCCCATCTCTAGCCCATACCACAGAGGTGCTGTGGCTTTGGCCTTTCACTGCTTTCTGACAGGCTTGAAGAAGAATAGAGATTAAGAAGATTCTGAAATGCCATAAAGTGCTATATTTATTTTTTTATTTTTCACATTTTACTAAAGTGTTGGCATTTGAGAGGATCTCTTTTAATGGTCTTTGCATTGATAGTTTCAGTCCTTGGACTGTCCCTTCTCTATCCCCCTGCCTCATAGGTTTCGTAGGATTTTTTCTTAATTGGTGTTTTGTTTTGCTTCAGTTGATGCTCACACCCTCCTTACTCGCCTCCTTCTCCCCTCCAGCTGCCCCTAACTCTTTAGGATGCCGAATATTCCCCTGTTAAGACAGAAATTCTTCTGGAACCATCTCAGCTCAGAAAAGCAACTTGGCAGCTCCAGTCTTTTCTCCCTTAATTTCTTTGAATGGCACTATGGTTAAATGTGTGGATTCTGGAGTGAGGAAAACCTCGATTTGATATGCTACTTAGTAGTTATGTGGTTTTGGATAAATGGCTTAACATCTCTGTTGCCTTATCTACAAAATGTTATTATTTTTACTACATCTGAGGTAAAAATGATACTCCCACAATCATCTAGGAAGCATTTTCCCCCTAATTAAATGCATAAGGTCCTTCATTCTAGACCTACCAAAAAGGTTGATGGGGGCCCAGACATTGATAGTGGTTTTGATTGCTATTTTTAACACTGCCCAGGTGAATTTTCTGATGAAATGGCTAGATTTGTAAGTCACTCCTGTAATATATATGTAAGTATTTAGCATAGTACTTGACATAGAGTAGGTGTGGATTAATGCTAGTGAAGATTTCAGGAGCCAGGAAGATGCTCTTTAAACACATTTAAATGTTAAGAGCAAGGGTTGCTACTCTTGAGAGTGTGGCTTTAGGATCTGGAGTAGTCTTTAATGTGGCATGAAGCTGGTTTGAAAAGCATCCTTTTTCCCCTAAATGAGTATGGTTTAACCAGAGTCTGTGGTGAGAGCTGTGGGGCAGTCACTATTTTCCATAGCTGATCTCCTAGGAAAACTGCAGGACCTGAGCTGCAAATGAATCTTGGTATATATTCCCAGATGAGAGGTGTAGGGATGAGTCAGCCCAGGGACCAGCACCAGCTTCCACCCCCAAATAAAGGAGGAAAGATTGGGTGAAGTTTAGTTCTGAGGTAAAGAACTGAAGTCAGGGTGTCTGCTCTTTTTGGACTTTTAAGGAGAAAATCCTTATGAGCATATCCAAACTCTGGACTTCCTAAAGCCAGGTCCCTTGACCCAGCTGAGCCATTCTGTCTACTAGCAATAAGTTCAGGCATGTAGCCATTAACTGGCGTGACCGGCTACTCCATCCTGTAGAGGAGCCAGAACCCCCAGCCCATAGTGGTGAGGGTGGTGACGAGAGCCCTAGCACTTTCTGACTTAGCTACTGTGTTACAGAAGCAACATCCAGGGCTGTGTCATCTGCAACAATGCTGTGATCGAGAAGGGAGCAGATATCAAGGACTGCCTAATTGGAAGTGGCCAGAGGATTGAAGCCAAAGGTAAACAAAACCCAATTATAGTCATAGATGCCACTTTTCACCTACCACACCAGCACAGATGATGCTTAGTGCTGGTGAGGAGTGGGGAACAAGCACATGAATACATCGGAGGTGAGAACATAAACTGATAAAGCTGTTCTTACAGGGGGATCGACATTGTCATTGTCAATTTTTTTAAAAAATAATATTTTATTGATTTTTTACAGAGAGGAAAGGAGAGAGAGGGATAGAGTTAGAAACATCGGTCAGCTGCCTCTTGCACACCCCCCACTGGGGACGCGCCCACAACCAAGGTACATGCCCTTGACCAAAATCAAACCCGGGACCTCTCAGTCCACAGGCAGACGCTTTAACCACTGAGCCAAACCGATTTCGGCAATCGTCAAATTTTTTTTTTAATATATTTTATTGAGTTTTTACAGAGAGAATGGAAGAGGGATAGAGAGTTAGAAACATCGATGAGAAACATCGATCAGCTGCCTCTTGCACACCCCCTTCTGGGGGTGTGCCCGCAACCAAGGTACATGCCCTTGACCTGAACCGAACCTGGGACCCCTGAGTCCACGGGCCGAGGCTCTATCCACAGCCAAACCGGTTCTGGCCATTGTCAAATTTTAAAATTTGACTTAACAGTTCCATTTTCAGGAATTTGTCTTACAAATAAACTCATATTTGTATGCATCCTACTATCAAAAAAATTAAAGCATGGGAGGTATAATCAACCAAGGATAATGCATATGTGCATGGCCTTGGAGATAGACAATGGGTGAGGTCCTGGGGCAGAAAGTGGGGATAGACTAGAAAGGGTCAATGGAGGGGGGGGAACATATTTAATACTTTCAACAATAAATAATTATCTTTAAAAATAATTTTAAGCATACCAGCCCAGCCAGTGTGGCTCAGTGGTTGAGCATTGACTCATAAATCAAGTTGTCACTGGTTTGATTCCTGGTCAAGGCACATGCCCGGGTTTCAGGCTTGATTCCCAGTAGGCAGAGGAGCATGTAGGAGGCAGCCTATAGATGATATTTCCCTCTCATCATTATTTCTATCTCTGTGTCACTTCCTCTATCTCTAAAAATTAATAAAAACATATTTTAAAAAATATATAGCCCTAGCTGGTTTGGCTCAGTGGGTAGAGTGTTAGCCTGCAGATTGAAAGGTCCCAGGTTCAATTCCAGATAAGGGCATGTACCTCAGTTGCAGGCTCCATTCCCGGCTCTGGTCGGGGTTTATGCAGCAGGGTTGGGGTGGGGCAAACCAATTCATGTGTTTCTCTCGCATTGATGTTTCTCTGTCTCTCCTCCTCCCTTCCACTCTAAAAATCAATGGAAAAAAAATCTCCTCGGGGGAGGATTTTTAAAAAATTAATTCATTGAAGAGATACTAGCTCACAGCTCTACAATGGCTGCCGAATTAAGCTTAGAAAATAGGTTATAGCAAAGATGTATACCCCAAACCATTCAGATTCAGAACCCCCTGACTCCATGGAAGGCCCTGGAAGGAGTCTGCTGTTCATCTGGTCTGTGAAGCTGCTTTGTTATTCTGTCCCCTCCCGGCTCCTCATTGCATTTCTCTGTGGTTTGTTCTCTTCTGTTTGGGTTTGTGACCCCCACATAGTGTTTCTTCCACCTCCTTCCTGCCTCTTTGTCTTTGTAAACTATCTCCTGCTCAATAAAAAGTAGAAACATCCCCCAGTGCTTTCTTCTTTCAGTCCCTCCTGGAGCCAGGAGCTGCTTCCTTTTGTTGTTTTTTAAAGGAGTTTACTCCATAGGCTTATCTGAATGAATGAACTCCATTTGCCAGTGCCCTAGAGGTCCCTCCTTTCTTGTGTGCTGGAACCTGGAATTTCACAGTTTCTGCTCTTCTCCTCCCCATTTCCAAAAAAGTGATGGTGCTCCTTCCTTCTGCGTTGCAAGGAACCCTTTTTATTCCATGTGCAGAATGCATGAATGCCAGATACTGAGGGCCTGAGGCATGGATCTCAGGGGCTTTCTGACACTTAACTAATGTTATGTGCCCATTTTTTAGCAAGGAGATTCCTTAATGGTCCTTCTGAAGGAGAGGGGACCAGGGAAGTTATCTGGACTCTAAAGTTGAGAGCCCCAACACTTCCTGCTCCGTCCTCAGTCTAGCAGGGTACTCAGTGCCTTCCTGCTACAAGGACTTCTGGCCAATCACCTGTTCCCACTATCACTTTTCTTTGAGGCTGAACTGTGTGGATAAAGCAAATTCCTAGCCATCAGTGCAATATTCAAGACCTGTTAATATGGATGACCCAGACAAGCATCAATAACTCAGGTCTTCCCCAGCAAAGAGCTTAGTAGTCTTCCTCATATGGAGGGATTTAATCCACATAAGTAATGCCCTCTCTCCAATTCCAATCACTTGTATATCAGAGTCACTACATCTGTCCCAAAATGTGACTCTCATAACCCACTGTAAGCCTCTCTACCTTATTCTAATTTTTCATGTTTTTTAAATTAATTTTTAGAGAGAGAGGAAGGGAGAGAGAGATAGAAACATTGAAGAGAGAGAAACATCATCCATCAGCTTTGCCTCTGCATGCCCCGTACTGGGGATCAAGCCTGCAACCCAGGCCTGTGCCCGGACAAGGAATCAGAGACCTCTTGTTTCCTTGGTTGGTGTTCAACCATTGAGCCACACTGGCCAGGCTCTACCCTATTCTAATACTACTAGAACAAACTATTCTCTGACAATCCTGGCTTTTATCACCCAACCCCATCATGCTCAATTAATGAGATTATTTCTGGCAAAAATCCTGATAACCAAGTTTGACCTTCTGCTTAAGCCATTAGAAAGCCATAGCCAATAGTCAAAACCTGGGAGACTGATGAGACTCTGAGTCTCTTATCGCTGTCAGTGAGAGAACTCAGGTCTCTTCCCTGTGACCACAGTGATCAGACTTTGGCTGTGAAAGCAGGCCTCATGGTGATTAGATCAGGTCCTGGCTAATAGGAATTCTTCCTAGCTTCCTGACAGTGCAGCTTTTCATATGTGACTTGTCATTCCCTTCCGTCCCATTGATTTTTTTCCCAATTTACCATCCTCCCTTGTACTCCTTACCTTTGAGATCTTCCAAACCTGATTCTATAATAGCCCAGAACTTTTCTGTTGTGTGTACGGAGCCTGCTTTTAATGGTTCTGGCCAAGCAGAACTAGAACTGCTTGTTGCTCCCACACCTTTACTGAATCTCCATGAAAATACATCTACTCTCTTCTCCTACCCCAGGCTAAGAGCAGACCTGAGGGCAGAGTGAGAGTAAGGAGGGTGAGCTTGTGAAGGCTCGGGTGCTTATTTGGAGCCTGAGGATGGAGCACAAAAAATCGTTGTCTGCCCCAGCCAAGCAGATAATTAGCCCCTCTGGTCTGGAGCACTGAGGGCCAAGAAGAATGTTAGTTGGAACTGGGGCTGTCTTCAGAACAGCCCAGTGTCCCTGGAGACGAAGAAAAGACAGGATGAAGGAAGAGCAAATGTCAGAGTCTGGATATAAGCAGATGAGGCTGACTCGTGGCTATAGAGGGATAAAGGGTAAAGTAGAGCTTTTGGAGGTGCCCTGGGAAGCTAACTAGAGCAGCATTTCCTTTGTTCTTTTCTGGTCAGTCTTATCTCAAGGGTGGAGCCTGACAGTCACACTCCCAAGACCAGCCCAGCCCTAGGGAATCTGGCAGCCTGAGCAGTCTGGGCCTCCTCCCCATTCCTCTCACTGATGTCCAAAAAGTAACACCTCCCAGGGCCTGAGTACACAGACCAGACCCAGCCCCATTCTGTAATTACTGTTCAATACTTACCAAAGCACTATGCTGGGCTCTTTACATCAATCTTAGCAAATCTCCATAACTTTGTGAGGAAACTAAAGCCCAAAGACTGGAACAGTTTGCTCAAAGTCATAAATAATTCAAATCTTTATGACTCAAGCTCTTTCCTTTCCTGCACTGTTCCCTTTTCTTCCTCTCTTTCCTGTCCTTTTCTTCTCACATGGGATTGCCCCTATCCAATTCGGTGCCATAACAGCAAACTTTGTGAAACACATAGACCTGTTTCTCTTCCCACTGGAGAAAAGTTGGAGAAATAGGCCTGAGGATTTAGGATCCCCAAGTACCGTTGCTCTTCTGCACCAGATGTGCCAATTAAATTCTCTTTGAGAAATTGGAGTCCTTCTCTTCTATACATGTGGAGGGTTTTCCCCTACATCTGTACTCTCACTTAACCCCCCAAACACCCACACATTCAACAAAGAGTTACTGCCTACTGTATTCTAGGCTCTAGGAGGGTATCTATAAAGATGAGTAAGACTTGCCTCTTGCTGTCTAGCTGTTTACAGTCTATTATAGGGAAACGGATGAGTAAAGAAATAAATACAGCCTGACCAGCGTGGCTTAGTGGTAGAGTGTTGACCTATGAATCAGGAGGTCACAGTTCAATTCCCAGTCAGGGTACATGCCCAGATTACATGCTCCATCCCCAGTGGGGTGCATGAGGGAGGCAGCCGATCAGTGATTCTCTCTCATCATTGATGTTTCTATCTCTCCCTCTCCTTTCTCCTCTGAAATCAATAAAAATTTTACATTTTTAAAAAGCTAACCCTCTTCTTACCTTTTATCATATCACCAGTCAGCTTCAGGGCACTTCTGTAAATATGTTGAGGATTCCCAGTATTCCTCTTCTCTCCCTCTTTTTTTCCAAACATCTTGGATAACTTAAAACATATTCATCAGTGAACCATCCAACTTCATAATTTAGCTTCATAATTTCCTTAACTTCTCTACCAACCTTCACCTCTTTTCAACTTTAGCTCTCCACTTATACAACCATGCCCTATCCTTATAGTTATCCGAAATCTCTGAAATCTTTCATGTGCCAGTAGCTGTGTTAAACACTGGGATATGAGCATAAATACACTGCCCCTGCAGTGTGAGGTAGAGGAGAATGAAATAATGATATAGAGATAGGCACAGGTATTAGATAGGGTGTTCTCACAAAGCAGAAAATGGACAGCTCAGAAGGAAAGGCATCAATCACATAAAAGAGGTGATTGATTAGGGCTTTGGGATAAGAGTGTGATGGGGAAGAAAGGCATGCTGGAACAGCATGTGCTGAGGTCTGGAACTGTAAAATAGTATGGCTTTAGGTACAAATGAAGAATGGTGGAAGATGGGGCTAAAGAGGTAGCAAGAGTCAGGTCATGGAGGGACTTATGGGTTTGGACGTTATGAAAATAACACTGGCCACTATTTATGGAGCACTCAGAGATTCTTTAATTCATTGAGTCCTTGCAACAACCTATACAGTTGGTGCTATTATTTCCATATTACATATGAGGCAACTCCCTTTTTCCTTTGGATATCTCCATTTAATCATTTAGTCTCATTTCTCCTCACTCTTTTCCCCTATTCCCTCTCCCCAGGCCACACTACAGTATTTCATGTTTTCCTTTCCTACATGTTTTCACTCATGTTGTTCTAGTGGCCTGGAATGCCTTCCCTTTGATTCACTGCCTGAGAAAACTCTATTCATCCTTGAAGACCCCGCTCCTTCCCCTCCTCTGCGCAGTCTCCCTGAGAGCCAGGTGCATAGAGCAGACCCTCCTGCTGTCTCTCCTGTAGTCCCTTTGGCAAGTTGTATTCCCAAGAGCTTCTCAAGAGCCAGAGCCGCATGGGAGAGGAACAAATACCCAGAATTAAAAGTAATTGGGTTTAAGATGACATCTTTTGCTGACAGTTCTCAAACAACCTTTTCCTTTTCTTTTGTAGCCAAACGAGTAAATGAAGTGATCGTGGGGAATGACCAGCTCATGGAGATCTGAGTTCTGAGCAAGTCAGACGCCTTCCTCTTGGCCCCCAGAACTACAGATGTTGGCTGGCCCACCTGTTTGACTCTGTATTTATTTCCCAATAAAGAAGGGCTCCCACAGGCATGCTGCAGACTTACAGGGTAGTGCCACGCTCACATTGGGAGGGGCAGGGGGGACGTGCCTCCAGTGTGTGTTCATGAGCATATGGTAAAGACCATCTAGACCCAGTGTGTAGAACGAAGCAGAACACAACAGCCTGGCTCCCCGTACAGAAGCTACCAGGCAGGGGCAGCGGCTCTCCACTGGGAAAGCTCCCAGGACCGTGGTCGGCAAACTGCGGCTCGTGAGCTCTTTGGCCCCTTGAGTGTGGCTCTTCCACAAAATACCACGGCCTGGGCGAGTCTCTTTTGAAGAAGTGGCATTAGAAGAAGTTTAAGTTTAAAAAAATTTGGCTCTCAAAAGAAATTTCAGTCATTGTACTGTTGATATTTGGCTCTGTTGACTAATGAGTTTGCCAACCACTGTCCTAGGAGGACTGCTTTCTGATTGGCTGATCTAGTCTCATCCATAAAAGCATATCCCTCCTGAAAGGATCTGGAAGTACTTCAGTCCCTGTCCCAAAGGCCTAGCTGCTGGCAGTGCCATCTCTGCATATCGTGCTCCCTCTACAGCTGCTGATTTGGGCAGCCTGGCCCCTGAACCTCAGCCCAGACTTACTACTCTGCCTCCATACTACCTGCCCCACAGATTCCCAGCCCCAGCCATGACCCCACCCCCAGCCTCAGCCCCTAACCCCTGCCTTTCCTCCCTGCCCTCCCAGCCTGTAGCCAATTTCTCCGGCTCAACTATTGTCCCTTGGAGACCCTGAAAGCAAGCAGAAGGCAGCCCGTGCCTGGCCATCAATAAAACCCCATGGGTTTTAGTGGCAGCAAAAGCAATAAAAGAAAGCCATGGTCTGAGAGCCAGGCCCCTTTCCACATCCCCTTAATGAGGACTTTCAACCTGCTGGGGAAGAGCCAGGAAACTTATCATGGTTTGAAAATCTTCTGACTCTTCTCCAGGTGCACTCCCCTATATCCTAATTATACAGGCGCTCCTGCTTCAGATAATTGAGAAATGAGATTTCCGTACTCACAGCTCTTCTGGAGACCTAGCCACCTTCCCTTCACCACCCCACTCCCAAACTCAGACCCTCAGCTCTTGCCGCTCCCTGGACTGCTTTTACAACCTGCAGGAGTTTGGTTGAAGATAAAAGTGGCTCCTGGGGTGAGGTTTCACCTCCTGGAATTAACAAAGGAAAGGTTTCTCTTGATGTGCTCGCTGTGGGTGGCAGTAATTATAAACATACTGGTTTCTACCCTGCTTCAAAAATCTGAAGTCTCAAGTTAATTTGAGTAATCTTGCCTGAATCTTTGTGTTGTTCTCATTGAACTTGTGAGAGGCCGAGTAAAAGAGCATTCCTTCCCTGGGGGATCTCCACCTCCACCAGCCTTCTCAGGAGCTCTGGAGCTTCGCATTCATCCACTTCCAGGTTGGACAAGGTTCCCGGAAGTGTGCTGAAATGGTCCAGCAGAAGTGGTTGAATTAACTGCAGCAGAGGTGGGAATGAAGAGCTGTGGTGGTGCCCAGAATGGTCCCCTTCGGCACTGAAATTAAATTTGTGGGGCCCAGGTGATGCTGGAGGCAGTGCTGGCCTGGATGGAGGACTATCTGCCCTCGTGATGTTTGGCTTTGGCCAAATCACTGCCTCTCTTCTGTCCCTGAATTTCCCCATCTGCAAACCGGGAAGGTTGGACTGGGTAATATTTTGTTGTTGTTAATCTTCATCTGAGGATATTTGTCATATTGATTTTTAGAGAAGGTAGAAGAGAGAGGAGGAGAGAGAGGGGGATACAGAGAGAGAGAGGAACATCAATGTGAGAGATACACATCAATTGGTTGCCTCTCTCACATTCCCTGACCCTTGAACACCCTTGCCTGGGAAGCAAACCCAAGACCCTTCAATGCATGGGCCCGTGCTCTGATCACTGAGCAACACTGTCCAGGGCTGGACTAGGTAACTTTTTAGGGCCCTTTCTCAGGTTTTTTCACCTCAGAGCCTTCTGACCCTTGAGGTCTGGGTGGTCCGAGGCCAGAAGACTGCTTCTTGACCACAGAAAGGGATGGAACTGGGTAGGTTTGGAGGGAGGGTTGGATGGGGAAGGAGGAAGGATTGATTAAACTGTCCCAGAGCCTTCCCATAGCTCTTCCTGGTCTTCCCCACGAGCCCTTGGAAGCCCTGACAGGAGGAAAACCTCTCCTCTGCCTTCCCTTGAGCACATGAGCAGCCCCCCACTCCAGGAAACAGACCAGGCAAGCACTCCCCAGGGGAAGGCCTTGCTGAGTTTGAGTCCCAGGTGGGAGCAGCCCCGGCTCAGGACACTGCTGCTATTGTCTCTGGATCCCCAGGACTGGCCGGGTGCCCGAGATGCTTTCGTTTCTCTTCGCTTTGCTCTATTTGTCTGCCAGAAGGCAGGGACAGTTTCTGTTTCTTTTTGGCAGCAGCTACAGAGGGTTTGAGTGTGTCTGAAATACAGTGCGCAACCGAACGTCCACGGGCCAGCCACCTCTCCGGGGGACAGAAGCCAGAGGAGCCGGGCAGGAAGAGTTGACAGGATCTGCCCTGCCTCGCCCAGCGATGCCCCCTGAGGGAACTGGAAGAAAGGGGCCTTGTGTGCCACATCAGAGGACTCTGGGGAGAGGTGGAGGGACAGGGTTCTGGACCCTGCCAGGTGAGACAAAATGTGATGGATGGCTACCACTCCAGGGATTTCTCCTCCACTATCCCCTCACCTGCTGGCAAGAGCTCCCTGAGCCTGTAAGGGAATTGCTGCCTAGGTTGCCTCCAAGACCAAGGCTAAACTTCCCAGACCTTCCCCACATTATTTTTTTTTTAATATTTTATTGATTTTTCACAGACAGGAAGGGAGAGAAAGTTAGAAACATCAATTAGCTGCCTCCTGCACACTCCCCACTGGGATGTGCTTGCAACCAAGGTACATGCCCTTGACCGGAATCGAACCTGGGACCTTTCAGTCCGCAATCCTACGCTCTCTCCACTGAGCCAAACCAGCTTTGGCCCCCACATTATTCTTCCTATTGCAATCCCATCCACAGGGGGGGAGGGAGGGGGTAGTGTCTCTACCTAGAGTCCCAAGAGCAATCCAGGGGCCTACACAGCCTAGTTTATAAGCTGTTTCTATTTGCAGAGAATTTGCAGAGAGGATACTTTTTTTATTCATAGCCATCCCTACCCCTCAGGAGGTACATAAGCCAGGCCTTCGTATGCTGCATCCTAAATAGTTAAATGTGTTTGAGGAAGGGGGAGAGGAGTGTGGGAAGGCCACCCAGACAGAAGGTCCAGAAAGCTCAGCCATGAGGGAGCTGACAGGGAGGGAAGGCTGGGCAGGAGAGCACATTCTCCTGGAGGCCAGGATGGCCTGTCCCTGACCTGAGCCGGCTGCCACCACCCAGAAGGATTGCATCATGGGCTCTTCTGCCATGGACACATGGGCAGATTCTACTTGCATTCTTCGCCTCTCTCCTTCCGCCACCCTCAAGGTGAAAGGCATTTTCTGATCTCCGGTGGCAGCCTCTGGCACTAGAGACTTGACAGGCACAATTGACCTAAAGCTACCAACTGGGAAGGGGCCTAAATTCCCAGGCTTGGCCTCTGAACGTAATGGGTGTCAGTAGGGATTGTCAGGGCCCCTCACATCTCAAAGTCATTGTCTGCCTGGCCCAGATAACAGAAGCCAGCCCACAGCATAGTGAGTGAGAAGCTTGCAGGGGGGGAGGGGGGACCAAGGAAGAGGCCTGACCTGGCTTCGCCCACATAGACTCTACCCTGAAGCCACACTTCACTCAATGTGTGTAAGTATGTGTGTGTGTGTGTGAGAGAGAGAGAGACCTCACTTTTCCTGGTCATATATATTACCTCATTTAATCCTATGTCCATGACAAAGATTATGTGATTTAGCCAGTATCTCACAACCAGTAAATTGAAGATTCAGCCCTTGAATCATCCTTTCCTTTAGATTCAGTCATCCTCCCACTTCTCCAATCCAATTCCTCACTTCTGGAAACCTCTCTGAGGATTCCAGCTCACAGTGGTTTCCCTATGGCCTCTGTGCTCCCCCTTAAGCTATGGACATCTAAAAAGCAGGTATTCTGCAACCCCAGAGTTTAGCAAAGGACACACAAGAAACCCTAAGGTATGTTTGTCTCATTAATCAGTGATTAGATTTATTCCTTGGTATTAATGAATTTAATTAGATTGCTCTTTTCTTGTTATTCTTTGCACAACTTTTTAAAAAATATTTTACTGATTTTTTACGGAGAGGAAGAGAGAGGAATAAAGAGTTAGAAACATCAATCAGCTGCCTCCTGCACACCCCCCACTGGGGACATGCCCACAACCAAGATACATGACCTTGATCAGAATCGAATCCAGGGCCCTTCAGTCCGCAGGTTGACGCTCTATCCACTGAGCCAAACCGGTTTTGGCTGCACAGCTTCTTTAGTTTGCAAAATCCCTTTACTGACACCCATTACGTTCAGAGGCCAAGCCTGGGAATTTAGGCCCCTTCCCAGTTGGTAGCTTTAGGTCAATTGTGCCTGTCAAGTCTCTAGTGCCCAAATACATGCCTAGGTCCAGTAGAAGTGACACGAACCAGGCTGTCCCACAGTGACGCGGGCTGCTTTTGGAGAGAAGAGATGCGCTTCTACTTCCTCTCCTGTTCCCTGGGGTCTGTGCTCTCGCTCGCCCTGGCTGAGCTCTGCTGCACTCAGGAAATCACTGGGTTGGGGAGAAGAAAGTCATTTTGGAGCTTGGAGTAGCCAGAGAGCTCTAGGCTCTGGGTGGGAATGGTTGGAACTGCAAACCAATTTCTCCCCTCTGGTCTTTGAATTGAATTATAAGGCCCAACGTTTCCTCACAAGGAGCTGGACTTTGCCACAGCTGTTAGCAATGG